AGCTAAACACCCCACCTAATCCAAAACCCTCCCTAAAGCCTATAACCCTGAACTGGGAAATGCCAATCACATAGAGTAATATATTAACAAACACTTTTTGTTAATATATTAATCTAATAAGCCATCTAAGTTATTTAGAAAGACTGTGCCATCTCTTATTGGTTTTTGTTTCTTGTATTCTACTGTAGGTAAATACGGAAATTTGAAATCCATAAACTTTTCAAACGAATAATCATCTTCAAAATGTGCTTCTGCTACTCGTTTATTAATCCTTACATTGGTTTCATTTGAATACAGTTTATATTTTAAATTGTGCTTGGGGTCATTGTTGTTTATGTGTGTTAAGATTATATAAATTACACTTTCAACTTTATTCATTTCTCTTCCAAGATGATTAACAAACTTAATCTTTGTATTATTCTTTTTATCTACATTCTTGTCATATTCATAAATTATTCTGTTTCGTTGTTTAGTGTAAAATCTTTGTATTTTTCCATCAAACTTAAATGAAGTACCGTATAATGATTTAATCTCATTGTAGAATTCATTATTGTAAAATTTGTCTTCGTCTTTCAAATATTTTCTCAACACTCGTAATGTCTTCTCAAATGTAGGAAACGGATTTAATCTAACATAGTAATATATTTGAGTGTTTAATTTCTCTGGCACATATTCCTCTATATCGTATTTATGTTTCTCTTCAACTGCTTCAACTCCATCTTCAAATTGCTTCGTACTACAATCATAAACATACTCCTTAAACTCTTTCAAAGTTTTACACACCTCGCATTCTTCATAATTATATTTACAAATACTTTTAACAGTATTCTCAGGTATATTCAGTTTATATAAACACATATTTTGTTGGTTAAACTTACAATTCTTACAAATACTCACTCTATCCTTAATAACTGTTTTCATTTCAATAACATTCAAGAACTTGTTGATTATTTCCTCTTGTTCTTCCTGACTAAACATTTACTCACTAATATATTAGGGTATTTTGTCTTTAAAAAGGTTTTCGTAAAATACAGGCTAACTTATATTACACAGAAGTTTAGACATACTCTCTCTTGACATCATCAAACTTAACACCATAATAGTCTAAAGTCTCTTGCTTTGGCTCTTTTATTTGACAATTGTTTAACTTATTAACATAACCATTTCTCTTATCCTTATAAACATCACTATCTTTATCCACTGGTTTATTGTATTGTTTAGGTTTATTGCTCAAAGCATCAAGCTTTTTGTCAATCAGTTCTAATTTGTCTAATATCTTTTGAAATCGTGTTGCTTTTGTGGTCTTATCTGCCTTATCATCATCTATATCACTCATA